CTCTGCTTTTAGAAGACTTCATTTCCACGTGTCCTGCAAAAGGGACAGAGGCATTAAATGAGTGGAGCAGGTGCATTAAATACTTCTCAGCCCGTTCTTCTTTTAATATATTTTAAAGGAATACATCACCATATGTTCCCCCACTGTGTTTTTGTCACAAATGTGTAAAACAAGTGATTTTCATGCTGAAGTTGCTCATCACATGAGGGAACGTAAGGTATTTTGCCATCAAAATGGGCTTAGATGGGATTGAATTTACATCCCATCAAACACCCCAAAACTAAACTGTTGGTTGTCCTCAAACAACTCAGAAATATTGTATTGGGCTGCCCAATTTCAAAGAATAGCTCAACAGAAAGAAACTTGAGCCAGTGAGCAATCATAAACTTTTCAAAAAATGAGCTACTCTTCATAGGTGACAAGTAAGAAGAATTTGTTTCAAGGTAAGTGAAGGTTGCTGATCTTCTGTCTCACTATCACTCAGGGTTGGTGTTTGCTCTGTCCATTCCTGGATGTGATTCTTCAGAACTTGCTTTTCTGTTGTTTTCCTATGAAGTGCATATGTCTTCCCTTCCAAGGATCTTTTGAGAGGAGGGTTTATGGACGTGTGGTAGAATGGTGGTCATAATCATGGGGCCAAGGAACGTTTACAATTGTGTTTTTGAACTGGACTTTTTCTGTTCAGGGGAACACCTTTCCTTTTTGTACCTTTTCTTCCCTTGAAGGGAGATTTTTTGGTATTTTCATCTGAATTCTTCTGAATGGATGTTCCCTTTTTCTTTGTTTTCCTTTTTCTGTCCTCTTTGTTCATTTCTGTGTTCGTTCCTTGTCCTTTTGGTTGACCTGGTGATGTGTTTGTGACTGTGGATGGAATGGAAGTGTTTATTTGGTTCATCCTTGTTAGTGAAATCCATCTGTTCTTTAGCAGTACTCACAGCATCCAGGCAAGTTTAGAAGTTTCATTGTGGTTACACCTCAGTAACGCTCTCATAAGTAAGTGTTTGGCCTTTTTCCGTTCCTTACCAGCTTAGTTCACACAGATCAGCTTCCTTAAAAAATCTGAAGATTAAATTCCCTGCATTTTTCCTATTTCAAGCACTCAGAGAAAGAATAAGAATGATTAATCAGTGACTTTGTGTTTCATGTATGTTGGTTAAAAAAAAAAAATTGTATAGCCTTAATACTTATAACTGAAATGTATGTACCAAGCAGTTTGATCAAAAAGCTTTTTCATTGCAAAAAAAGTTAATATTTACAAGGGAACGAAAAAGGAAATAAAATAAACAATACTAGAAATAAACTAGAATTTAACAATTAGGAGGGTTTTCTCCTTTTCACTAGGGACGTCTGCTGTCTTTCTGAGCACCTCCAGCTTCTTTGGCTTCATCAACTTCCTCTTGTGTGAGGGGTCTCCTCCTGAGTTGATCTTTCAATCTTAATACTTCAGCTGCGGGTAGCCATTTCTCAGCATCCTTCAGTAGATCACTGATTATGGCAACGAGGTAATTGATAGTGGACCTCATCATTGTCCTGCCGGTGCGAATGTGGACAATCTGTCCTTCAACGTCCAACAGTCTCATCTCCAACTCCTAAATTCTCCCCTCCAAAAATGTTCTAAAGGCTTTGAGGGCTTCTTTGGTTTCTTTTCTTTCTTCAGAGTGCTTGAGGAGGAGCTTATTAAGTAGGAGTTCAGCTCTGTGGTTATTGATAAACCCTTGGTTTACCATGTTTTTAGGCTTAATTATGTTTGATATATATCATGAATTGCATGAGAATTAGGGTTTTATACTGTAAAGTCACAATAATTGAATATCTTGCTAACATGTTATCATAATTCTTATTTTTAAGGGATTTTTGACACCTATTATGCCTCTTTGGAACCAAAAGAAGACATCAAGTTGAGTTGGAGCCTCAAGGAAGCAAGATTTCAAGCGTGTACCGGCTGTAAGAGGATGTTTTGGCGTCCATGAATCATGTTTAAACGCTCAAGATGAAGAAAACACCAAAATCCACTGGAGGAGAGCGTTTTAGCGCCCAACAGAACGCTAAAACGCCCTAAAAACATCAATTTCCCTTCGAAGAGCACGTTTTAGCGTGCAACAGCACACCAAAATGCCTAGAGGAAGACAGCAATACACATCAAGCACGTTTTAGCGCGCAAACAGCACGCTAAAATGTTCATACGCGGACAAAGCAACTCCAGAAAAAGATTTGATAAAAATATGCAGCAGGATTCTATAAGATACAAGGAAGAAACACATCAACCTTGATTGAGATAAGATATAACTCCAATAAGAAGATGTGATGGAAGATCACAACAAGATTTAAAAGCTCAAAATCGTCAACCAATCTCCAAGATATCAAATGCAAAAAGGAAACAAAGATGGAATTGTTGTTGATTTAGCAAGTGCACTAGTCAAACAAGTAATAAAATGATGAGTAAAGATCGTTCCCACGAGGATTTGTGTTCAAGCACCGACTAACCATATATACTTAAGTTGAATCAAATGAAAGATATTTGTTTGCATAGATTTCTTGTCACCAGAAATTTAATTTGAATTGCATAAAAACTAGATAAACAAATAGAATGTGATTATAATTTGAACAAGTAGTCAGATGTCAATTTTCCTCAAGCATGAATTTATGGATGAAACAATTTCCATAATGAATTACCTACTATGTGATGTTGATCAACCTTTTTCTTATCATCAAGATGTAATATCTTACTACCCTGATTGATACATTAATAAGAAACCCCAATGTCTTGGTGATTCCTTTCTTAATACATGCATTAATTACTAAGATCTTAAGATCACATCAGAAATCCTAGCATCAATGTCTTGACTACTAGAACACTGATGATGAAGTTGTCAAATATAGAAACAATGTAAACATGTCTGTTCTACACTACTCCTTAACATGAAGAATTAATCAAGACAACTTCATAAAAATCACATAATAAATAAACAATACATCTAATTAACCATTCATAAATTCAAACTTGAGTTCCTTTGAATCAGACTACAAAGAATTCTACTCAGACATAATTGAAATATAAACAAAGGAAGAAGAAAGATCAAACTCCATTGTCATGATAGTTGAGTCTTCAATCTTCAAGTACAATTACACAAAGAAGTACTAACTATTACATAAACTAATCCTAAGGAATTTGGAAATTCAGAGAGAATAAGGAGTTAGATCAAATCTATGAAAGATCTGATCTGATCTCCCCTCTCCTAGTGTGATGGGATATGAGATGTGATGAGATATATGGGATGGGATATGTATAGGCACTTGCCTTTTATAGAGTTACAAAATACAAAACTGCCATGGGCGCTAAAACGTTCATTGATGGGCGTTTTAGCATCCATGTTTGACGGATGCCCAACTGCTTTTAACTGATTCCAACGCTAAAACGTTTGACTTGGGAGTTTTAGCGTTCAAGACCAGAGTCTTTTTCCAACAGCAGGGCGCTAAATGTTTGATCAGGAAGTTTTAGCGCCCAAGACCAGCAACTTTTGTCCTCAGATTGCAGCAGCGCGCTAAAACGTTCTGTGTTGGACATTTTAGTGCTCGGCACCAGCAACTTTTGCCTTCAGTTTGCAGCAGCGCGCTAAAATGTTCTGTGTGGACGTTTTAGCGCTCAACACTTGAGCATTCTCCCTTTCTTCAGAATCTTCTTCCTTCTCTCTTTTGCTTCTTGAGCTTCATTTTCCTTCAAGAACAATGTAAATTTTCAACATAAGCTTCAGAACTTGTATTTAGGACTTTCTAAGACATTAACCCTCTTTTCCATCCATTTAATCACACAAATTGATATTAATTCATGCTTAAAAACCTGATGAACCAAGGGTTTATCAGAAATCAACCACAAATCTGATATGGATTCATTGGAGATTTAATGAAGAATACAACCCCAAAAAGCTATAAATAAAGAGCTTGGGGTCAAGACCAAGACACCAATTCAGAAACCAATACACAAATCCAAGACTGAAGGGGGAATCCTGTTGCGGAGCGCTGGAACACTGAGAAACCAAGTCAACATCACACCAATGGAGGCTTGGGGTTCTCTTTTCTTTATTATTTCTTTTCAATTGAGTATGCTAGAGTAGTCTTTTATGTAGTTAAGGGTAGATGGAACCTAATTGAATCTTTGTGTTTATGAATTAAATTGTCTCCGAATCCTGTTCTTTTTATAATTGAATAAATTATCCGTCTTTAATGCTTCTATGAGTTTGTTCCTTATAGAATGATTTTGGGGAATTGTATGACAATAGGGATGTTGGTGCACGAACCCTGACTTGATAATTTATCAGAATCCTTGTGATCTAGGAATAGGAATAGTAATAGACATAGGGTAATTATGCAATCTTGTAATTCTTGATCTTAATGCATGTTTTCTTGGGGAATAATCGGGGAACTAGAGTTCTTTCAAGATTACATAGATTTATGGTAACAAGGAATTGAGCCGTAATTAACTCAGATAGAATTGATTGACAATATATTAAGAAACAGATTCTTGGTCATTTAATTCATAACATATTGAGGATATTGGGGGAAGTCGAAACCTTAACTACGCTTGTTTTACATTCTTAATCATCATCTTTTTATTCATTCTTTTAATTTTGAATTTTCATAATTGCATACTTTTACTTGTTTTTAATTTTAAGTTCTTTGAACCACAACTCTCTTCATCTAAATTCTCTCAAACCAAACCTTTGATTGTCCAACTAAGACGCGATTAGCGAACTAGTGCGTGAAAATTCTGATCCTCGTGGGAATGATCTCGTACTCCGGTACACTTTATTACTTTCACGATCGGTGCACTTGCCGAGTCGCTATCAGTTATGCAGGGAGTTAGAGAGTATTAGGGAGTCAGATGCTCTTCTGATTTCTCCCTAGACAGCTTGGAGTGTTGATGCATAGGAGGCAGCACTGGTGTCTTGGATGGTTGTACTAATGGTTCTGAGTTGTTGTTCTCTCTCTTCCTTCTGCTGTTCCTAAAATGTGTTGAAGCAAGAGGAGAGTTGACCCAATCTGTCCCTTAGAGCCTTCAGCTCTTCATTGGTGCTTGTCATATCAGTTTGAGGAACAGATTGTTTTGCTGGTAGCAGCTTTTCTATTCTCTTCCCCATCATCTCAAAAATTTCAGCAATCCCAATTTGGGACTTCTTTTTAGTTGGGAGGGGGATTGCTGTAACAAGGGAGGAAGTGGTCTGTTTGCTATGATGGCTGCTGCTAACAACAGGAGGTGCAACAGGTGTTGGTCTGGGCTCATCTTCTGGTGGTCTAGATGATGAGGGGATTGTTTCAGTGGGTTCCTTCATCAGTGGAGGAACTGCCATCCCTTCTTCCTCTGCTAGAGCTCTAGCTAGAGCCTCATCTCCAGTGGTGTCAGGACGGTTAACAGGATACAAGAGGGGGCCTCCCAGACTGATTTGTCTGGGAACAGATGGCTTTTTCTTCTTTTTAGGAGATTCCACAAGAATCCCCTTTCCTTTGTTATTTTTCTTTTGTGGCTGAGCTTTTTGCTCAGCCACTGATGTTTCTGCAGCAGGTGCTGCTTCCTTTTCTATTCTCTCCTCTCCTTGTTGTTGCACAAGAGAGGGCTGTGGTGTGATAGGTGTTGGTGGAGAGTGAGCAGGTGGTGGGGACGGAACGTCAGAGAATATAGTGGCAGAGCTGCTTCGGGACGTCTCCTTAGCAGCTGGTTTGGGTACTGACGTTCTGCCACCCTTAAGCCTTTTTGCCAAAGGCTCATTGTCATCTCTCTCTTCCTCTTTGTCAGAGAGGGTGATGGGTTTCTCAGAGGATGCTCCCTTTGCCTTCTTGGTGCTGCTGAAGGTTCTCTTCAGCCTTTGACTTGAACGTTCCCCTTTTCTTGGGGAAGATTTGGCAGGGGATTTCTTTTTGCCCTGTTTGCTTTCAGTAGCAATAGGGGCATCCTTTTTCACCTTGGTGGGAGGGGGAACAGTTCTTCTTGCCGGAACGTGGGCAGAAGTGGAGGATTTTGAAGGAGTGGCCTTTGTGGTTTTCTTTTGAGGGACCTCAGGAGCTTCCTCCTCAACATCACCGATGACAGTGCGTTTGAGGTCCTCAGGAATAGGCTGAGTTGTATCTCTTGACTGAATCTCAGGACTATGTGATTTCAGTTGGGAATAATTATGTTTAAAATATCAGCCATGAGCTGAACTATCTGTGGAACGGGTAATCTGTGAAACTCTTAAAGAACTGTTTTCAAAACTCTTGACTGAAGCTGTTTGTATTTCTTTGGCTAAGTGAGCTATATTCATTGTGTACCAATGGAAATTGGGCACATACTGAGAAAGAAACTTCCATAAGGAAGGGATTTCAGACAGCTTAGCCATTGGGGGAAGGTAGTGTTATGGCAAAAACACTACTGGTCACCTTAGGAATAAGGGGCCAACTCGTCCATTTTAAGGTTCTGTACTAAGTACCTGATGGAGTCAAGGGAGCCGTAGGAATATGGAAACTTGTGAGCCATCTAGTCCATGAGCTGAGGAATCAGAGTTGGCAGACAAGAAACTGGGACAAAGCCAAGAAGTGCTAAGTCTTAAGCAAAGAAAACAGCTATTTAAGAGTGAATCAATGAATCTGTTCCTTCTGTTTAACTGTTATAAAACATCACCCTGTTGTCTCTTGCTTATAGTTATTTCTGCTTTAGTAGTTTTTTTTACTTTATATAATTATAACTATCAACTCCAATGATTATTATCTCACCTTCTTCTAAACAGGAAGGATTACATACATAACGCAGCGAGTAATTGTTTGCCAGCAGATTGAACCTACTGTTCTTGAGGAACGTTGTCAAGACAGTAGGGAACGTTTGACCAGACAGTTCATTTACTAACTTTTCTTCTCATTTTTATTCTTTACAAAACAGTGTAAGACAATAATTAGGATTTTATCCTCGTGGAAACGATAATTTGGGCATTAATACTCCCTTTATTACTTGATGTGTGCACTTGCGCACTTGGGTTGGAACTAAGGGAACGAATCTGTGTTCTGCAAGAACAGAGGAACGTCCCCTATCAGAACTTATAATTTTCCACCATCAGCAAACCACCCAACAATGCCCACCATCATGGTGGGGCCACAAGAGAGAGGAGCAACCAGAACTAGGAGCTTACCTCACTGAGCTTATCACAAGCCCAACTCCAACAGTAAAACACGTATGCTCCAATAAACCCTCAAGTACCAAGTCCTCTAGGCAAACCTAGAGCAGGAATCATTTACATAATTAATACTCAATCACTTAATGATTCCACCTTTCATTCTTACATGCTAATAATATGCCCATTACAAGTCTAGACCAATTATTACATAATTACGTATTTTAGTGCATTATTACAAGCAACCTCCATCTTCAATCACTTACATAACTTAGAATCAAATTCTAGGCTCACTTAGGTGGCTTAGATTATTTTTTACACATCCAAGCCCTAACTATGTGACAAGGCTGAAATGCATGCATAGGTATTGCCTAGGTTGGATTTTCATTTTTAAACTTAATTCGAGAGTAGTTCCTCAACTAATCACTTCACTAATTATTCTTGAACTTAATCAATGCACCAACACAATTTTTATCGCTTACTAGCCTTATTAATGATATCAAAACCGAGGCATTTCATGGTCCTATGGTGTTCAATTGGAATGCTAACTCACTCTTGGTTCCTTGGATGCTTAGTTCATCCTTAATTCTTTCTAAGTTAAGCTCCTCTTTTACATATTCCATAATTATGCTAAGTATACCTCTTCTAGGTAATTTTAATTATTAACTTAGGCATATTAACACATTGATATTCTAAGACCATAGTTTGTTACACAAAGTTACAAGTATATTAAAGCCTTAGACACATAATCAAACCTTAATCCATCATTCTTTAAATTTTTCAACCCTAAACCCTAATTATACCCTACATGGCTGAACCATATAGGTACCCTAACCTAGGATTTATTTTCATTAATTCACATGGTCATGTGTCCATAAGTCCATCCTAAGCTTAAGTGACCATTTAGTTTTTTAATTAGGTTTAATTAACAAACCCTAATTAAGTGTAGTTAGAAACCCTAGGTTACTTTAATTTTAGGGATTATCCTTAATTAGGTTCATTATGAAATCCCACTTAGTCATATTATGTCATGGTACCTCAAGTTCACTAATTGCATGATTAGTGCTCCTAAACCCTAATTAGGTCAAGTTTTAGGGTTTAATATTTACTTAGTGTATTATGCATAGTCCACCTCACTTAACCACTAGATTAGTGTCCTAATTAGGTCTTATTATTAATTTTAACATAGTGACCCTAATTTAACTTCACAAGGCCAAATTGTTTAGGGTGTAAATTAGAGTTTTTAAAGATTGTTTCTTTGTCCTTTCTTTAGCTAATTAGTCCCTACACTTAATTAATCCACTAATCCATGATTTTTTTATTTTTAACACAACTAATCAACCTTATACTCAAGAGGGCAGATTTCATTAGTTAGGGTTATTAGGGTTTTTAGCCATCCTTAATCAAGATTAGTAGGTTTCGCTTCGAGATAACCCACTTAGTTAATCTTTCTTAGTTCCTCTTAGGATTTTTTCACACTTAACAACCTCTTAAAATTTTTTGTCATTAAACCCTAGTCTTCATGGAAAGGCCGAGTTGTTCATGTGTCCCTTTAGGGTTCATGTTCATCTTTTTACATGAAATCCACACAAGGATCCAAAGGTTGCACCTTTACACATCAAACCAACCATTTCTTGGTTCATAACTCACACACCCTCAAGAACAACCATCAAAACCCTTTCTTTAAAATCTTTTAACAATATTCTCCCCACCCACAAGACAAAAACCGAGGATGCAATAGAGGAGAGGAAGATTTTGGGTCATCTTTTTCCCCAAAGTGGTGCTTACTTCTTCAAGCTCACACCTTTAGCTCCAAGCTTCACCTTTTACCAACAAGAATGCTCCTTTAAAAAAGAACACATCTTCAAAAATATGCTCAAGAGTTAAAGCTCAAGAACACAAGAGAGGAAGATGAGGTTTTTCAAGAAAAGTTTAAGAAACTTACACTAAAACTCGAGAGAACCAAGCACACAAGTGGTGTTCTTCAAGAGAACTCAAGAACACAACTCCATGAAGCTCCAAGACCGCGACTGTACATGGAGACATTGGCCACAAAATTTTGCTTCACACCATGAAAATTGTATGGTTGTGAAGAGGAGAGTGAGGGGAACAATCTTTGTGAATGAGGTTTGGTGATTTGGTGAGGTTTAGGAGGAGAGATTCTAGAGATAAGTGATAGTAAATTCAAATTTTGGATTTTAGAGAGAGGAAGGAGGTTGGCGGCTGATTGCTGAATGCTAAGGGAGGGAAGGTGTCGCTAATTAGGGTTGTCATGTCACTTTAGTGGCACTTTGTCCGTTAGTCAAATCCAGTGTAATTTTTATCTGAATCGTTATCAAATTTTTACCCGGAAACACCCAAGACTCTAACTTTAAGTAATTAACATTAATTTTGTCTAATTATCATATCCATAACTTAATAATTTGATTAGTAGATCACAGATCCACTAACAGTTGTTTAATTGCACTATAGTCTTTACTGGTATTCTTAACTGTACCCGTATTTCATAATCTTCTTAACTTTAACATTATTGGTCTAATTATGACTTGTTAGGACTATATTTGTATTTCTTTCCATTTTCTCATCTTTTTCCCGTTCCGAAATTCTACCGGTTGCTTCTACAGCAGTGCAAAATACCCGGCAGAAGTCATTTTTCCAAAATGCCACAATATGGGTATCAATATTCATCAAATCATATACTAACCTCATTCATGATGTTTATATCATTATATTATCTCTCTAACTATAATTTGTTAACTTGGAGCTACTCTACTACTGTTACTGCGTCAGCAGTCAAAAATAACAGATGAAAATTCACTTCTCTGAAATACCCTCAATATAGATATCAAAATTCTTAGAATTTTATCCTCATTCCATTTATGACCATAAGGTCCTCGTCAAAACCCTCTAATTTAAAATTCATATAATTAGGGTTATTATAAGCAGGGCCAGCGAGCTAATTAAAAGTGGAGTAAATACCATTTTTCGTCATCAGCAAATTTCACGATGCCCGCTTTAGTCCCTAGCAAATAAAAAGGCCCATCGGGTCCCTAAGAAATTCAAAATGGACCCATTTAGTTGAAATTGTGGTCCCTCACAAATTCAAAAAAGACCCATATTAGTCCCTGTAACGATCCGAAATTTAGAAAATAAAACAATGAAGTCGCCACCAATTTTATTTGATTTGGAAAAATTGAAAAATCTTTTATTGCAAACTGGTCTTTGAATCAGGGTTCGGGAGTCTGATTATGCACAGGGAAGGGTGGAAACTTAATCCCACTGCACCCCTGACACATCTGTTTCAAAAACAGTTACCTTAAATTAGTTGTGCAAATTTTTAATAATTTTAGAATATTTGTTTAACCCAAATAAGGCAAAGTGTTAAAAAATTTACAAGAAAAGAAAACAAAATTTGAAAAAGTTTTATTTTTAACTTGACGGAGAAAATCCGCTCCGACGTATCCTCTGATACAATGAGGAACTCAAAGCTACGTCGTTCTGTAGAAAATATTTATTTGTTAGTTAATTTTAATTTTGAAAGAAGATGATTTTAAGAAAAATTATTAATCTTTGAAAAGGAATCCATCATAGCTCAAAATTTAAGGTAGCAAGACTAGACGTAAATTCTTACGAAGCTTACAACACTTAAGGATAGTAAACCATACATCAACATTGTACGTCGTTGCTAGGATATTGGGAACTTTAGAATAAAAATATTAAATAAGTAAACTTTAATCTTTTTGATCTTGGAAGATGTTATTTTAGAAAAAAAGAATCCACATTTGCACAAGGTTTAAGATAGCATAGCTATACGAAACCCATATGATACGTACAACACTTGAGGATGGAAAACTATACATCAACGTTGTAGATCATTGCCAGGATATTAAAAATATTTATTTAATATTATTATCATTATTATTTTAAATAAATCCACATTGCACAAGATATAGGATAGCATGGCTATACGTATATCCATATGATATTACAACACTTGAGGATGGAAGACCATACATCAACGTTACAAATCATTGCGTAGATAGATATAAAATTGATATTTATTCTTTTATATTTTTTTGTGTTTTTATAATTTTACAGTAGCTAAAATAAATCTAAAGATTATGAGATTAACAAAACTTCATGCCTAAATTATTTCCCAATATAATTTTAAGCTATATAAGAAAACTTCTAATAAAACATGAAAAAAAACATAAAATAATAGACAGTTACAAGAAAATTCCTAACAAATAAAGAATATAAAAGCATACATAAAAAAGAAAATTATTAACTAAAGAGGAGGTAAATGGACTTACCTCAAAGATGATCAAAACTTGGTGTATGGAGCCAAGTTGTAGAAAATTCCCCAAATTTCCTAAAAAGGAAAAAAAGTAGAGAAAATTAGTAATTAAAATTTTACTATGACACTAACCTAGTTTTAAACCAAGCATAAGTGTCTTGTATTTTGGGTCTCCAAGAGTGTGTGTTTAAGAAAGGGGGAGAAGCTCCTTATATAGGGGGAAGGGAGGAGGAAGGGATGAGAGATAGGCAATGTGAGACTTTTAAGGAATAGAGACTTTTTCTCAATGTGAACAGCCATTTTGTGACCACCATATCTCACACCAGAGGGCTTAGCTCGAAAATCGCTTCGGCCATATTGAAGTAGTACATGCGAGGAACATGTCGACCAAATTTGAGGAAGATCAAACGGTTCATTTGAGAGAAACGATCCCTGCAATACGGTTGCCCGAAATTGCATCATTTCTAACAAATCTAACAGCCCAACTTTCGAAATGCATATTTGATGCTAGGAAGCTCAGTTTGAAAATCGTTCCGATCATATTGAAGTATCATATAAGAGGAACACGCTGACCAAATTTGAGGACAATCGAACGATTCGTTTGAAAGAAATGGTCCTCACAATATGGCTGCTTGCAGTAGAAATCTCCCGGGAAACCTGTTTCGGTTTTGAATTTTCTGGAAATGGTACAGGCTTCTAATTAACAAATCAACCGTTGAATATGATGTGCAATGAGTCAAGATATTGCTAAAAAAATTTCAGCTCGATCGGACGGTGGATGAAGGATATATCATGGCTGGAACAGGT